GACATATTTTGTTGGTTTTAGTAGTTTGGCGTCTCCGTGTATGTAGGCGAGATTCACTTCAAGGACTAAAATTGCAAGTTAGACTGATTTCTTTCGAGCTCTTACAAATTGCAAATTCTTCGCGGTATAGTAGTCGCCCATCCCCGCAGTACGCATATGAAAACTGAACGTGCAGATTAATTGCAATGCGCTCGAATCCAATTTTCTGCATTGTGTCCCTTTATTTAAGTTTGGTGACGCGATCGGTGGTCCGTGGAGATGCGATACTGAACTGCCTCGCTACAGGCCACAGAGAGACAGAAAAGAACTGGTGCGAATAGCTTGTCACCTGACCTCAGAGCCAGTCTGACCTTGCCAAACTGATCATACGTTTTATCTTCATACAGACGTTCAGTTTCGTGTTCCTGCCTTGTCATTTATCTTTTCTTTGCCAATCCAATAGCCCATCGGCTGAGAGAATTGTGGTGCTAAAGCTCTAGATTTGTTTTTCGGGAGATAACTAATGCGGATGGGTTTTCGGCTGTTCTCAATGTAATTTCTCGTTGTTTTCCTTCTGCCCCTGTGCTATTGGAATTATAGCACGTTCAAATATGCCACGACATCCTTACAAATTCTTAAGCATTCACCTTTTATAATCGCCTTTTCATGTCATCTGACACCATGTAACATGGGCACTTGAAACAGTGTACTTAAATAATCTATAATTTATCTAATCACCCGAATTCCCTCTCATCTCATTCGATGATGTGTTCCTCTGCAGTTAGTCATCGAAATTTAGTTAAGAGTCACCCAATTGCAGATAAGAAGGTGAGAATGAATTTGAATAACTGAGTTCGTAAGAACCCGGTCGGGTCTATTTGAAAGCAATAGCCCTACAATTCAACGCTAGACAGATGATAAGGCTCCAAGGACCTATAACATTCGATAACTATGACATGTGACGGTTGAGATATTTCGAAACGAAATTTTATAAGGAAATGTGATTAGGCAGTTAGCGGCGAACAAATATCTGTCGACAGTCCACTGCTGTCTGCCTTCAGCCAGACAGTCGATTGAATTGATTTTTTTCTTCTCGATAGGTCTACGTTCACACAAAAAAGGAAATGAGAAATAAGTTTTTCTTTATATGTTCCAACATCCGATTAAAACTATCCCCTTCTTTTCACGCTGAGTGAGCACTTAACCGAGAAGTCGCAAGTTATACACGCAACTTCTGCACACCACCGCCTCTGTCACTGGGTGTGACAGAGGCAAGAACTGTTTCCGTACAGAGTAACCTAGAAAAAATAAAATATAATGGACAAGTCATCGGATACATCAGTTGGTAATAGAACGTGAATATTAAAATCTGCAATATCAAGTACATTGTTTTAGTGATGACGATTTACATTTTAACTGAGGAGATACCTACTTCATGTCGTGACTGTGGTCTTTTCATGATGTTATGATAGCAGCTTCAAATAAATAATTATCGTATCCTTCCACATACTTACATGTTCATCCTTAACGAACATATTCTCTCTCACTTTAAGCTATTCATCACATTCAGTTGGCACAATATTATTACGCAACCTAAAGATCAGTTTTAAAATTCGTTAATACACTACAAACGAATCACTTTTATCAATATTTCCAACTTATACTTTGCAAGTTAATTTGCAAACAAGTTATTGCTAGTATAGTGATAAACAAAAGTGGCCGATGTGTAATGTTATTGTTACGTGCTACTACAATCTGTGGAAGGTACAATTATTAGTGAACTGTACTTACTGGGTATAACACACAAAGTGTGATCCAAAACACCCCATCATTTGTCTCTGTAATCATGTCTGTTATATTTGTGGTCATATTTTATTTTTCAGGAGATTGTTACTACGAGAGATACAAAAATCCTTCGGAACCTTAAACAGGCCTCGGAGTTCTGGTAAGTGATAAAAACTATTCCTGCATTATTAATTAACGTTCCTGAATGTATAAAGTATGGACAATCATTCAATTCGTCTTTCGGGTGATTTTCCACATGTCTAGTGCGTCACTAGCAATTTAGAACACGTAAACCTACCTTTTACTTTATCCGGTATAGACTGACTTGATACTTGAGTTCCTGCTTTATGTAGAACTTAAATTCCTCACGTCTGCCGTTTATTATAATCCGGGACCTACGGTTACATCACATCCTTAACGCCAAATATTTTCCTAGGAGCTTACAATCATACAAAACAATGGACAGAATTGTTTCGACAAGTTGCTGTTATTCACTAATTACTAATCACTAGTTACGTGGTGGACTGAAACATGTCTGTCTCTGTATCTTTCGGGTATGCCTTGCACAACATCATCATACCCTCGATACTAAGTTAGGGACGTCTTCTCCGACCTGGCATTTAGGTGATCTTGGCGAAATTACTTTAGTTTTTATTCTTAAATTAAGTTCGATATAAAACTTTTAGTGTTGTACCAAATACAAAATTTCTTCCAAATTCGTATATCATATTTCGAGATAATACAAGAGGGCGAAGCTACAAGTAGGCTACGACCTCTTGTCATTTTGTTAATTTGATTACATGCAAAGAATCCATTATCATGTATCCAAATGGGAACAGAACAAATTAGGCCTTTTGCTCGTATCAACTTTTATAATGCACTATTTTAATATGCGCGCTACTCTGTTTGGCATTGTGCTGCTTTAAGCGGCAGCCAGTTGAATTATTATGTTATCGATTATCGAATAGGGAAGCAGCCGTGGAAGTAAGTGGCATCTGTTGCAAAACACACAAACTATTTACTCCAACGGTCGCAATAGATAATTTCGTGTTAAATCTTCTTAGATCATGCAAATAATCGCTCGAGGAACGTGGAATAAGAGATAATATGTCGGCAGGAACAATTTATGGCACTTCTAAAACCATAGAAACAACTCGACCTTTCACTTTCAGTGAATTTAATAAGTAAACATTCATTGTTTCCGTATTTATTTCTAAGGGATCGAGAGATCGACTGTCATATGGTTTTTGTGGTGTTTTACACCTCCACACAAATGTGGGGGCAGTTCTTTAAACTTTGTCCCGACTGCTCGTTCTGTAAACATCCCAATAGCAGCTTACAATGTGAAAGAGACGGAAGTATAATTTATTTCTAAGCATTACCGAAACACAAAGACGGAGACTTTATTACTGAGGAAAGATTTTTAATTAATTATTTGTGGATATTTTCAGGGGGGAAGTTAAAACCAGTCAACAAGAAACGTATTTTATGTTATAGTAGTAATTATTTTTTTCTCTTTATCAAAAAACTTTTATTATAGAATTCAATTTTATTCCAAAAATACGTATTTTCGCTGATATATCAGAGATTCTTAGTTGAAGTCGTGCATTTATTTTCTTCAGTACAACACGTATTTCAGCTCATTGCCGGTAGGCGTTATTCATTCTTTCGTTTTCTTTCTTTCTTTCTTTCTTTCTTTCTTTCTTTCTTAGGCTTAGCGTCGCTGTCGAGTGACTAGAACTCCAGCTTCGTATCCTTGAAGTCCGGAGTTCAAATCTGGGCACAAATATGCGGCTATCCTGGCTGTATTTTTCATAGTTTTCCTCAGACCCTGCAGGCAAATTCCGGCATACTATATTTAATTAGGGCACGACCACTTCCTTTCATATATTTTCCAGTTCTTCTTTCATTAATCATAATATCATTCGATGCTATATATTCGGAGCTAGCGACAGCGTCGTTGAGTAAGTAACAAGTAACAAATGTATTTATTAATTTGCCTTGTTTCTCCCTTCCCGCGTTATTTTCTCTCTCATCTTTCTTCAAAGGATCAGCTGGGGTTATACGGTGTACGACTTTATATTCTGTCCTCTGCTTCGGTACTTAAGTAAGTCAGTGCCCCATCTATAATTACAGATTCGACAGCCAGAAGTTACCGGATCCATAAACTCGAGTGAAACTTTCAGAAAGGGAACTCGTGTTTGTTTCCGGACCATTTTCATAATTCACCTTCTGGCCCGAGCCGCGTAGTCAACGAAGAATAGGACCAATTAATATTGAAATTTTAATGATGTATTATGTAACTCACTCTAACTCCTGTAATTGATTTCTAATCAACTACACTTTGTACTGTCGTCTCCAGCAGGTAGCTAACTCCACGAGAGAGGGGCATTCTGGAGAAACCGATTGTGGCTGTCACCTTCTCCAGACTAAAATTTTGTGTTCATTTGACGTTTCTTTCGTGTGTGCAACAAGCCTCGTTCATCTCATATTCCTTGATTTCACCACTTACAGATATTTCATGAAGAACGCGAATCATAGAGATCATTGTAATTCAGTTTTTCTCTAACTTGCTGCTACATTCTCTTTCTAAGGTTTTTGAAATTCTCCCCGCTACCCCTCATCTAACATCCTTTAAGTTATGTTTGTGTCAGATTGGAAGACCAAATTCACATACACTACAACATTCAGAGTTAGGTTAGGTTAGGTGAGGTTAGGTTAGGTTAGGTTAGGTTAGGTTAATTTAGGTTAATTTTTCATGTTTCCTTTCTTTTATGAAACACATATTCATTACTGCATTCACAAAAACCTGAAACTAAACCCTTTCCGGCACCACCAGATCATTTTAGTCCACTCCTTCATAGTATTTCTTCGAAACCTGTTTTAATATTATCAGACGTATAGAGTGTCTCAGGTGGTCTCTTCCATTGACGTCTTCTCATTTATCTTGTGCCTACTCTTTGTTCCGTTTATCAATTCTTTTGTGTTATAGTGCCACTGAGGAAAACTCTGCCTGCGTTGGTTTTGTAAATTCTAACATTGGTGGTGGGGGGAGGAGAATGCGATTTACATTCGGTCAGCAGTTGTGTTATTTATTATTTCTAAACTCATTATAACTTCCTATAAAATACTTTTTTGCAGTTTTGCTTTGTGCATTATAACAGAATTCAGCGTAGGTAGAAAAGCATTAAATTTTAAAAATTAAACATTTAATTAAAATACACCGTCGTGTATGTAAAAATTATTCTTGGAAAGCATTTTTTTTTAATTCAACGGCGTTACAACTGACTGAAAATATTGTTCAAATGAAGGAAGAAGTGCATTACATACAGAACCATGTTTTCAGTCTAGTGTAACTTTGAATCGCTTTAATACTAGGTGACATGTATAGGCCTAAATCACGAAATTATTCTTTGTTTAGTGTAAATTGCCCGCTTGTTTTCACCTCTTTACCTAAATATCTGGTCTGTTGTACTGAACATCTGCTACAAATATAAGAAACTACTGTTAATTTTAATGTATCTTAATTATAAAAGTGAAACAGTTGCACAGAAACGAGATTAACAGCGGGGGCAACCATTTGACGTAAAACTGGATACGTTTTTGAGAGCACATCTCTCGATAAGTTCACTAACACCGAGATAAGACATCAGTTAAATATATATACTACTTTATGAAGCGAAGTCCATTACTTGAAGCTAATAGTCGCTGAGGTCTTTAAGAACTTCCTCGCCTATTATGGAACTAAAATGTACAAGAGCCCACCATTGGTCTGTCTCCTAAGACACGCGATATGTCCACACGTTCGTATCCAGTGTCATTATGATTCGTTTTAATACTATCCCCCATCTATGCCTACGTCTACCAAGTGGTCTATTCTTTTCAGGATTTCCTACTAAAATTCTGTGTGTATTTTGTCATCTCCCCCATGCTTACTATGAGCCTCGGGTATTTTATCATTCTTGATTTGTTCGCCGTAAGAATATTTTGTGTAAAGTATAAATTAAGAAAGTCCTCAAAATTCAATCTTCTTCTAGCTTCCTATTACTTCCACTCTCTCTTAGTTCCAAATATTTAAATATTCTACATTAATCGAGAAACATGCCTTCACAAAAGGACTGTTGATATGGTTGCATAACTTTCAGAATTTAAGAATAAAGTCGATTGGAATGAATTCGGAAAGAAATCCTTGTCCATTGTATTTCAACACACCTTTTCCATTAGTCTAATTAATTTCTGTTTTCGCGGCGTGATATTTATACTGTTAACACTTTTAAAATAGTAGAATTGTGCACACAATAAATCTGACAATAATGCATATTTATTAAGTTTATTTTATGGCCAGTAGTTTTCCCAGATGCTATTGGCCACTGCGTTTGGCTGCATAATTACTTCGAACTGAATGAAATAACCTCATGCAAGTTTCCTGTGCCTGTTCAAAATTTCTGCCTTCAATAACGACCCCCGCAGAGCAGAAATCTACCGCAACCCGTGCAACATTTCCGGGATTGATTAAAACAGGCCTTTCCAGCCTTTTTATGTTGTGCGGGTAACTTCTGTAAATTTGGTCTGTATGCGGGCAGCATGAAGTTCAATACGTAATCTGTGGAATGTAACACTATAATTATATATATATATATATATACATACTAATGATACTGTGAAAAAATTGTAAAAAATTCAGTTCCCAACCTAGGGGAGGGTGTGTTTATTTTCAGCACATTTTTACAAAATTAATTAATTAATTAAGTGAAAAGAGAGAAATACATAAGAAAAGATAAGAGAAAGAATGAAAGCAGACGATAGGATAGGTTAAAAGAAAACAAGAGATGTGACACTAGAAGAGAGGGTGAGACACGAATCTACCGTTCGTATGATCAAATTATTTAAATATTAAAGTATATGAAAGCCTCGTTCGTATCTCTGATGTTTTTCATCTAAAAGTTCTTTTCTCTGAGACGTCCTGTATATTCAAATCGAAGCTGCACTCTACAGACCAGTGCAGATAACTGTTCTGTTTCCCCGGCATTATATAAATTCGGTTCTATTCAGAGATCGCCAGTTGTTTCCATACTGACTTTCCGTTGTCAGCAAGAAAACAAAGCGGCTTAAACAATAACATGGATAACGCATTGTTACACTCGGAGGAAATGAGCAAAGGTACAGCGTTGCTTTTCATCAAACGTTCAGCTACATCCAAATGTCACAAAGCCGAATTTCGAATCTTTATCATAACAAAAAACGCTCCCCATTGTCCGCCAAAAGGGATGGGAGAAGAAGATAACTATATTGTAAGAGAGGGTGAGTTTTTTCGCCAGAAAAAATTGGGAGACCTATCATCTACGAGGGTAAGTCCTTGTACCTTTCGCCCCCTCGAGCAAAACAGGACTGCATCTGCCATGGTTCCCAACAGAGAAACGGGGGATGAACCGAACAGGAGGATATTGAACACAGCACTGTAGTGACTCACTTCATTTATTGTTTGCCTATATCTCCAATATCACCCCCTCTCAGGGGGTTGACTGCCCGAATATCGACCGTATTCTGTTGCCTCTTATAGCCAATAAACGAGGGCTGCACCACACGACGGTTTAAACAACTGCGCGAACTGGAGGGCTTTTGTGGCCAATGATCTCGCTCTCTCCCCCCTCAGCTTTTTTCCACTGTCATGGTAACTTTTTGGCTAACAAACTGTAGCTATCCATCTGGATGCAGGGCTGCTTTAAGGCAATGTTGGGCTCCGGGCGAATTATGGTCTGTCGCGCCCACCGGATTATTTTTTTTTAAAGTAGACACCTTACAATTTGATACAAGTACAGGTATATTTATATTAACAGAATCGGAAAGAATAGACCGTGAAGTCGTTGTTTTTTCTACATTTTGTGACTAATTGTGCTCCTTATATTGAAAAGCACATCGCTCGCGTGCTCTTGACACCCGGATTAATTACTCATATTTTCTATAACATATACCGTACAAAGGAGTCCACAAATAGGCCTATATTATTGAAGTGTTCGGACATAGTCTGTCATATGGTACCGACGCTTGGTAGATAGGGGACCTTAAAATCAAGGGGTCCAGGGCAGTTGCCTTCTTTGCCCATTAGATAAACCGGCCCAGCGTCGAGGCCTATTTTTGAATTAG